CTCTCTCTCTCTCTCTCTCTCTCTCTCTCTCTCTCTCTCTCTCTCTCTCTCTCTCTCTCTCTCTCTCTCTCTCTCTCTGTGCCCATCGAGAGAGAGAGAGAGAGAGAGGCACCAGAGGCACCATCACCATTCCTCCTCCCTCAGCCCCGTCCTCCATTCCTGCCTCGACCCTCTCTCCTCCCTCCCTCGGCCCGATCTCCATTCCTGCCTCGACCCTCACTCCCCCCTCCCTCACCCCTGCCCCATCGGCCCTTCCTCCTTCTTCCCTTTCGCCTTCCTTCTTTCCTCCCTTGCCTTCTCCCTCCTCCCTCCGGTGGTGTTACCTACCTCGGCCCTCCGACCTCCCTCGCTTCATGCTGCTGCAAGGAAAATGAGCGATAGCGAACTTCAGAAATCAAACAGCATCATACACATGAGATCAGATAGTCGTGACCTCGAACCAATAGCAGAATTGCATCACGAGTTCCACCAAATAAGAACACAGCAAAAGCTCATAATTGACAATGCTGGAATAGTCTCATCATCATCAACGAAGAACCAAAGTCGATATCCTATCTGGCACTCGGCGCCAAGACTACATATGGCAGATCCTATCTAGCCTGATCTACGATGCCGCCGATGACGTCAACAGCTCCCCGAAGTACGAGCAGATCTCGGACAATGCCGTACGCTTCAAGCACCAGGTATGTCTCTCGTATCACTCACAACCTCGTTCCCCAACTCACAGATGCCACATGCACCCAAGGCCCACCATGCGCCCCATCCGGCATACAGCAGCGCAGCTCGGCTATGGCTGCCTGCTCCTTTCAGCTCACCCGTGAGCGCGTGAGCGCTGGCCAGCGTTAGCGCAGCATGCAGCCAGTGCCCGAATGCCCAATGTGTAGGCAGGCCCTTCCCTATATCGAAATTGCCTCTGCTGCGTGCGTTAATGCGGTACTGGGCCCTGGCCCAGAAGCTTCCGGTAGGCCCCACGAGGCTGAGCCTCAGTCCGAAGTAAACAAGCCTAGGGCCTGTGGTGGTTACCAGCACCCAACTGCCCTCAGCGTTTGTTCAGTCCACGTTGTGTATCCGGCCTAGGGCCTGCCTCAGTTACATACAATGAAAGGCAGCCTGGGCCTGGGCGCTTCCAACCAACCAGCGCTGCACAACTGCCTGAATTTCCCCAGTTGCGTGGTGACCCCAATGGCCTGTAGGCCTCGGTCGTGCCTGCCTTCACTTAGGGCGGCCGACTGTGTTGTAAATAGGCCCTGTAGGGCATATCTCACTGCCTTATCTGGGGGCGATATAGAGAGTGCATTCCGTTTTTCTTAGCTTTCTCAAATTGCGTTAAGGCTTAGTGCCACATTGTTTTTCTTTCAATGTGAATACGGGCGATCGTGCGCGTGAGGTCGCACATAGACGCACACAGTGAGGGGTGTGGATGTGGGAGGGGGAAGAGAGAGAGAGAGAGAGAGAGAGAGAGAGAGAGAGAGAGAGAGAGAGAGAGAGAGAGAGAGAGAGAGAGAGAGAGAGAGAGAGAGAGAGAG